TGGTCTTGTGGTAGTGCGTCCGCCCGGAGAGCGGAAGGTCCGGGGTTCAATCCCTGGCTGCGTCATACCAAAAGACGTTAAAAGATGGTACTTGTTGTTACCCTGTCAAGCGCTCGGCATTAAGGGGCTAAAACAAGGACTGGTCGGCTCAGAGTCAGTATACTGTGTCTGAGTGGGGTATTCATGTTAAACTGCGGCATGGTATCTCAGTGGGCTAGCACTATAAATCGGCATCAGTCCGGACTAGTTCAAGCAGCCACACACACACACGTACATGCACGTCGCTATATAAGTGCAATAATCTTGGACGCGACGTTAAACCCCATTTCACCTCACCTCACCAATTGCATGGATCGATGCTCATGATGTCAATCATTCGATTGCCTGGTCCAGACAGCCCTCATATAACTGGAATATTGCTGAATGCAGCATTAAACAACAAACAACAAACTAAAACATGGTGTAAAGTAAATATTTGAACAAAATTAGTTCATTCGTGTTTATTGATTGTAGTGGATATAGTGTTGACACAATTGATCACATGTTGATAGGGACAAACCAGTTGTCAAAACATGTCCGCATGGTGTTTGAAGCTAGCTTTGAAGCCAGCTTTGAAGCCAGCTTTGAAGCCAGGAGTTTTCCTAGCCTTTGCTATCTCAAGGTCAGACTGACTCCCAAGAAATTAGTTTTCAACATGTTCAAGTCCAACAGAAATGATGGGAGTCACAAGTATTGCTCATACATAAACAGATATCAAGTTTACATTTCCAACAAACTTTATTTACATCAAGCGTGTCAGATATATTTCATGAAATATGGGGGTTCCCTGTGTCAGGAAAAAGTGAAACGTCCCATGTCTGCTGAAAGTGAGAGTTAAGATCTAGCAAGAAAATACATACAGGTCTATTAAATTTTTACCACAAATTCAACTTCCAATGGGATACACTCCTGTGGGGATTCTGGCTTAGAATAAGTCCCCTGGGCCAACTATACCACATGTAATTGTAATGTATTTGTAATTGACAAAGACCAGGAAGTATCTTAACCATGTCAACTGATATTAACCTAGCCGAGACTTCGTACATTCTAGGTAATATATGCTTTATACATCTGGTAGTAGTACACCTAGGTCGTTATCACATAGTAAATTGTAGGTTATATGTATAGAATAGACTCCAAAGATGTCTGACCACGTAGTTTACTCTGAGGCTGTCAGGCCGTCGCCAACTAATAAAGCCTAATCTAGGTTTAAGTATATATAGCGATGACATCATGTACAGGGCTTGAAAAAATTAAAGAATTGATTCTCAGGCAATGGCTTTTGAAAATATAGTGCGGATGGTGAGGTTTGTTTTGGTTGTTCAAACTAACATGTGACCAAAGAAACAGTTGTGTATAATCAATTTGGGAAGGGCATAAATGTATTCCTTGATGAGTTAAGTACAGTATTTGACTAGCAGTGTGTGCATAATACGCGCATAAGATGAGCTTTGATTTTATTTTACAACTCTAAGATGTTATCGTGAGCACACAACACTGGAATTAACTTTTATCCAAGATTTCAAGCAATTTTATTCAGCGAAATCGTGTACTGATTGGCAAATCACACCAATTCACCATGTACTGAATGTGTAGTTCATTATGTCCAGTGATGTTTTATTGTAAATTTCTTGTTTTCATTGACCAAATTTGCAGACAGCAATACACATGATACAAGCATACCAAATCCTATTGCCGCCATGACCTTTACACGAGATGCACAGTAAAGCAGTGCGCATGTACACCGTAACACAGTATTTTGGATCACATTATTTTAGTATTGCAGCATTTCACCGATAGGGTCGTGTTCGAGATGCAGAATATTAAACAATTTATTTTAAAAAATTGAAAAAAGGAAATAAAAACGAATCGTGAGGCGGACTTTATGAAGATGCAGTGCCTGAGAACCAATACTTTTTTTTTAGCCTACTAGTGTTATTGTTTTCAAGCACTAGCATGATAAGGAATCTTTTTGTTCTGTAATCCTGAGAAGGCTAGCCTAGAGGTAATCAGCAACCCATACTTGCCGTAAAAGGCAACTAAGCTTGTCGTAAGAAGAGACTAATGGGATCGGTTGGTCAGGCTTGCTGACATGGTTAATGCATATAATCGTATCCCAACTGCGTGGATAGATGCTCATGATGTCAATCACTGGATTGTCTGGTCCAGGCTTGATTATTTACAGACCGCCGTCATATACCGTATTCGACGTAATAAGCGCCCCGCTCTAATAAGCGCCCACGGCGATATTTGCTGATATATTGGCTAGTAAACAATCCTAATTAGCACCCCTTCAGATTGATCAATGTACACAAGACTTTTTTATTCGCGCATATGCACACTCGTGTGTTATATGCACCTTTAATTATGGGCAAATAATTAAATTTTCGTTGTGTTCATGGAAATTCCTGCATTCTGATTAGCTGAATTGGTCACGTGTTATTGCATTCATTTCCCAATGAATGTAAAAAATTAAGCCACGCCCACCGCGGCGCACTACTTTTATACTGCGGAATGTCGGGGAATCCCGTATTACAGTCGAGGGAATTCCCTTTCTGCTCACGTGTATCGTCATGCACAGGATATTTAGCGACTTTCATGCATATTCATTTTCCAAACAACCCTTTGAAACCGAAGGCCGAAAACGAATGAAACAGCAAACATGCAGGCTCGCTCGCCTGTTTTTTCCCCGCTCGTCTCGGTTCAACTTTCATGTCTTCGGGTTTCATTTCTAACTAGCATTTCTCTAACTGAGTTTTACCGTAATCAGGGAAGTAATGTTTGAATCACGCAGTAAATGACCATGTTATTTGAAACAGCCGCCTTCTCTCGGTCGACATATTTCTTCCGGTTCGTTACAGTCTGACTGTTGCAGTTCTTTTTGCCTCTTGCCTTAATTGACAGGTCTAATGAACATTGTTTTAATCCCACTCTCCGTTGATTGGCTACTGACTGTGTAGGCGTGTCAAGTTATGTGCATAAATTAAACGATCACCTGATTCATGTCACGCCACTGTATATATTCCTACACCTGGAATGTTTATCAATGTCGTCATTTTTGTCTGTTTTGATATATGCAACTGTTTTGGGTTAAACTATTGTAGATAAAACATGTTTAACGTTGTCGAATTTAATTATAAGCATTGACTGTATATTTTTTTCGGTTCATTGAGGTATGAATCGAAAGACCGATGTGCAAACTTTTGTAAGAATCCGCTACGCGGATTCATACAGTTTGCACATCGGTTTTTCGATTCATACCTCAATGAACCGAAAAAAATACACAGTCAATCCTTAATTAAATTCTGGAAAAATATATCTGTCGTACATAAACATTTCAGGCTCTCACCATAAACCACGAAATTTGTCTTTCAACTCTCTTTTTTTCCACCAAAATAATATTCTAATAAGAGCCCCCTATTTCTAATTTTGAGAGCGCCCTGGGCGCTTATTATGTCGAATACGGTAGCTTGAATATTGTTTAGTGCGGCATTAAACAACAAGCAAGAAAGCAAGCCTGGAGTCAGTTTGCTGAGTTTCAGGCTGATTTGGTGTCTATGAGTAATATTCGACAACCAAGCATTAGCCAACATTAATTTCTGCAGCATCTACATTTTTTTCCTTTGTCTAGAAATAGTGATATTATGCGTTTCTTTTCATTATCGTTTGGTTAATCATCCACACCAAGATCGTCTACAGTTGCTGTAGTGTCTCCCCAATATTGCCAGTAGACATTACTGTAGGATAAATAGCTCTGTGGAGCTGCAGCTATTGTACAGCCACCCCAACCAATGAAGGAATATTGCCGGTGGACATTACTGTAGGATATATAGCTCTGTGGAGCTGCAGCTATTGTACAGCCACCCCAACCAATGAAGGAATATTGCGGGTGGACATTGATGTAGGATATATAGTTCTGTTCAGCTCCAGCTATTGTACAGCCACCCTAACCAATGAAGGAATATTGCCGGTGGACATTGATGTAGGATAAATAGCTCTGTGGAGCTACAGCTATTGTACAGCCACCCTAACCAATGAAGGAATATTGCGGGTTGACATTGATGTAGGATAAATAGCTCTGTGGAGCTACAGCTATTGTACAGCCACCCTAACCAATGAAGGAAAATTGCCGCTGGACATTGATGTAGGATATATAGCTCTGTTCAGCTCCAGCTATTATACAGCCACCCTAACCAATGAAGGAATATTGCGGGTTGACATTGATGTAGGATAAATAGCTCTGTGGAGCTACAGCTATTGTACAGCCACCCTAACCAATGAAGGAATATTGCGGGTGGACATTACTGTAGGATAAATAGCTCTGTGGAGCTACAGCTATTGTACAGCCACCCCAACCAATGATGGAATATTGCCGGTGGACATTGATGTAGGATAAATAGTTCTGTGGAGCTACAGCTATTGTACAGCCACCCCAACCAATGAAGGAATATTGCGGGTTGACATTGATGTAGGATATATAGTTCGGTTCAGCTACAGCTATTGTACAGCCACCCTAACCAATGAAGGAATATTGCCGGTGGACATTGATGTAGGATAAATAGCTCTGTGGAGCTACAGCTATTGTACAGCCACCCCAACCAATGAAGGAATATTGCCTGTGGACGTTACTGTAGGATAAATAGCTCTGTGCACTGATTCTCAGCTAAATGGTATATTTCACATATCAAATGTTAATAAATATATTTCTTGATATTGAAAAACTTAACTTATTTTCAGTAAAAACAGTATTCAGGCTCTCAGAATCAATCATTGGGGGACCCAAATGACATCTGAGTTGTTTCTAATGATAACAGAAATAACATATGTCAAATGTCATGTAGTCAGATACGTTAGACTGCATGTTGTCATTGCAATCAAAATATAGCACACAGCATTTATTAACTTGCAAAAAGTGGCATTGTGATTTGAATAGGACTACATATAATATTTTTTTCAAACGAAGTCATTGCCTAGGGATCATTTGTCTCCAAATAGGACAGTGTCGCGGACACCTGTTCAAGAAACACATTTTCTACAGATATTAGCAAATAATAACAGACACGTATTAGCTATGAAAGGTTGTTCATTTTGCAAAAATAACTTGATAACAAACATTGGTACAAACATCGAACAAACTACACGCCAATTCCCTGGCCATCAAGTATTGGTCTACTGAGAACACAGGAATAATCTTCAACTGCAAAATCTGACGTATCTGATGTCAACCTGAATCAACAACAAAAGTTCACAAGTGCCCGATCTTTGGCTTAAAAACGTCTGACGTTTAAACATTAATATGAAAAATGAGGTTTATATTTTCTCCATATGACATTAAACACAAACTATAACATAACGTATCTGATGCTTTTTGAGGCATTGTGGTTGAAATCTGGGAAATTTGTAAAAAATACAAAGTGAATGTTCATTTGAATGCCTTCTCAATACGGGCAACGTCACGTGCAGCTATGTTGTACTGGCGCCTTGTTTTGCTAATAGTGACCGGTTCATCAATAAAGCAGAGCACATCGTCAAATTCTATCCAAATTTCATCAGGACGAGATGGCCACTTGTACGTACAAGTCTTGCCTTTGTCTTTTGTTTTCTCCATGAAAGTTATTTTGGTATCGCCGTCATCTATATCAACTTCGAGAACCTTCCCGATGAACCAGTTGCCATAATATATTGCAGCCAGAAATCTGCCAACTGGGACAGCAAGTACATGTGGTGCAGCAGGCACAGCAGGTGCAGCAGGTACAGGGGATACAGAAGCCTGTGTGGACTTCAGTATATGTGTTTCCTGGGATATGGTTTGGTCAACATGGTGACTCCGCCAATCATCACATAAATCATTGCTGCTTAGACAACCTGTACAGCATGATACAGTTCTTGAAAAAAGAACCCCATTCTGCTGCATGACTGCGTGCAACTTCATTGTACCATGTAAAACCTTTGCGTTAGAAGTAGATATGTCCTGCACAGCCTTCTCTACTTCAGCAGTAGAGTAGAATCTATATTGGATTGATTTTTGATTGTGTCTCGCCTACTCATAAAAATCGTGGGCATCTTGAATTGTAGCTTTGCCTTGTTTCTACTGCGTTGGATGCCTGTCGTTTACAAGCACCTCCTAGTCCATTACAGGGGCCTTTCCCGTGGCCACACTCAAAATAATTCCAAAATGCCTCAAGCCCAAACAGCTCGTATGTTTCAGAATGACATCAAACATGTACCGATTTCGGTACTGTGATGACGAGCTATCTGTCCAATAGTGAACATACGTTGCATAAGGGAAAGTGGTTTTCAGTTCAGGTAACATCAGTTTGAGGATTGTGAGTACCGCAGTCGAGTTGTGCTGATTGACGTCAGACACATAGATAAAGTTTTTGTTATCCAGTTTGTCCGCCTTGTAGTATACTACTACAGGGTGAAGCGTGACATTTGTTGGGTTCCAGTATGCACTTTGGATTTCATCCATACTGGAACAGGTAAAGTTCTCAGCAAAGTCCATCTGTATGATGATATGGCCATCTGGAAGTGTATCCTTCAACTCATGGAAAGCTGCATATTGCGACTTTACTCTTCCAACGTGGTCACGGAACTCAGCATATTCAAGAAGCATATAATTCTTGAAGTCAGTGGCATTCTTTGTTATCTTCACCACCTTCATTTTCTTTTTTCCCTCAACATCCACACGCTTCCACTCATCATATTCTACGTCACCCTGAATGGTTTCCAGCATCTGACCCATTGCGTCCACGGATACACTGTCATACGCCATATCCAGTGATTACGGAATCCAACACTTTTCAGACATTTGAGTTTCATGGCCATATTCTGATGTTTGTTGCATAAGCAAGTGTTTCATGAAATGTGTGATGTCAGCAAGATGTACCTGGGCCGTAGCCTACAGAATGATGCAGATGACAGCTTCATATTCTGGTTTTCAATCTTGAACTTAGCATACACCTCAGACAGATAATCATTCATTATTCTTGTTTGATACCATTTAGGCTCTTGGAATCTGCTTTGCCTGGCATACATACGCTCATATCATCTCTCTCCATGAATGAGACAACTTGTCTCTTAATCTGCTCTCTTACGAGAGTGAGACGGGCTCTTCCTCGAATCTCTATTACCTTAGAGGTGGTCCGAGGTAAACTTCTTCGTGACAAGCCTGTAGCCTTGTTCAAATCCGACACACATCTGTACTTCTTAAGTGAGTGAGTGAGTGAGTGAGTGAGTATGATTTTACGCCGCTTTTAGCAATATTCCAGCAATATCACGGCGGGGGACACCAGAAATGGGCTTCACACATTGTACCCATGTCGGGAATCGAACCCGGGTCTTCGGCGTGACGAGCGAACGCTTTAACCACTAGGCTACCCGACCGCCCCACTTCTTAAGTACTTTCCCTCCAACAAGAGATATCATCACATTCATTTTGCTTTGCTTTTTGTTGGCTGCGACACTTTCTTTAATTTCTCCAAAAAGTACATTAGCCATTGTTAATTGTCTCACAACAGTGGCTGGCAAGTGACTGGGACACACACCGTTTTCCCGGAGATCATTTCTGTTTTTTTGTTGAAGGTGTTGCTTCAGATTGTTGTTGAAGACTGCCCTCGCCTGATCCGAGCTATTTTCAGTATTGTTCCCTTCGCGGTTAGTCTGTTTGGGTGTCCCATACTTCGCCTTCATCCTCTGATAGTGAAAGCGATGTTTGCACTTATGAAATAGCCACCTTTTAATAATTTTCATACTTTATTCTTTGTGAAATATGCTAATTTCATCAGATACGTTATATAAATCATCAGATACGTTAGGTGGTATTTAGGTGTTTAGACAGGAGCTTGAGTAAAATATAGTACTTAGCCTATCAATGAAATGCATACCTACAGAAAACATCAGTAGAATGGTGTGGTCTTCGCTTCAGAAAAATATCTAATCATTAAATTACATTCGTAAACTACGTTAGGTTGGCATCAGATACGTTAGGTTGGAAAACATGCTCTTTGGGAAATGCTAAGTTACTGTAAGGGGTTCATTTTTTCCATCCTAGTTAACAGTAACTATTTTATCAAATAAATATCACCTGTGGGGTGGCTTTCAATTCAGATCACCCATTTACTAAGATGGCAAAGATTACTTACCAGTTTGTGATGAATTGTTGAGAACCGAAACCAGGTTGCATGACGTTCTTGGATGAAAATCGGAAGTAGAGAGGTGGCATGGCGCGCATGTGCATTAATAAGATTCAACTTATTGAGATTACTGAAGTTCGATGACCATCTTCCGATGGTGCTGACGATCTGACAAAATTGTATCTGATGACAACTTTGCGAATTGGTCAGATATTTCGAAGGTATACTCATGTCAAGGTTTGGGATGGACATTTCTTATAGGTGACATGTTGTTTTATGAAAGTAACAAACACAACATGATGTATTGTAGTTTATCAGGCGTGTGCGGCAATGAATCATGCTAACGTATCTGATGAAAAGTATCGTACCCAGCTGGTATTATTTTGTGATTTTGTGATTCATGTGGTTTTTTTAAGTTGTTTCAGAAATTGATGATAAAAAGTGTTAAGACTATGCTTGAACAAATCATATCTGACACATTGTGTTATGATGTTTGTTTAGTTGGTGTGTGACTTCTTCACACAAAAGTGACCAACGTATCTGATGGTAAAATCGGGGACAATAGAATATTGCTAGCCAAAGATATTTTATCGGAACCATTGCTTGAAAACTGCTGGTAATGATGATGTATGATCATTATGCATGAAAGGAAAATGTAAAGTGCAGTAAAAATGTACAGAATATTTAATTATTCAGTCGTGAAGTCACTCACTGAGCACGGGGACAAGGCTCAGAACGACTTTATAAGCAACAATATAGACTGGTGAAGATACAAACTGAACGAAGTACATCAACAAGTGTATTCATTTAGCCGTTCAGCTTGCATTATATGATTTGTAACAGAAAAGATATTTTCAGCTAAGATATTAACCAAGTTTTAAGCAGGGGACAGCACAGTTGTGTAATTTACCATTTAGCTGAGAATGAATGTGTGGAGCTACAGCTATTGTACAGTCACCCCAACCAATGAAGGAATATTGCCAGTAGACATTACTGTAGGATAAATAGCTCTGTGGAGCTACAGCTATTGTACAGCCACCCTAACCAATGAAGGAATATTGCGGGTGGACATTGATGTAGGATAAATTGCTCTGTGGAGCTACAGCTATTGTACAGCCACCCTAACCAATGAAGGAATATTGCCTGTGGACATTACTGTAGGATAAATAGCTCTGTGGAGCTACAGCAATTGTACAGCCACCCTAACCAATGAAGGAATATTGCGGGTTGACATTGATGTAGGATATATAGCTCTGTTCAGCTCCAGCTATTATACAGCCACCCTAACCAATGAAGGAATATTGCGGGTGGACATTGATGTAGGATATATAGTTCTGTTCAGCTCCAGCTATTGTACAGTCACCCTAACCAATGAAGGAATATTGCCATTTGACATTGATGTAGGATATATAGCTCTGTTCAGCTCCAGCTATTGTACAGCCACCCTAACCAATGAAGGAATATTGCGGGTGGACATTGATGTAGGATATATAGCTCTGTTCAGCTCCAGCTATTGTACAGCCACCCTAACCAATGAAGGAATATTGCGGGTGGACATTGATGTAGGATAAATTGCTCTGTGGAGCTACAGCTATTGTACAGCCACCCTAACCAATGAAGGAATATTGCCTGTGGACATTACTGTAGGATAAATAGCTCTGTGGAGCTACAGCAATTGTACAGCCACCCTAACCAATGAAGGAATATTGCGGGTTGACATTGATGTAGGATATATAGCTCTGTTCAGCTCCAGCTATTATACAGCCACCCTAACCAATGAAGGAATATTGCGGGTGGACATTGATGTAGGATATATAGTTCTGTTCAGCTCCAGCTATTGTACAGTCACCCTAACCAATGAAGGAATATTGCCATTTGACATTGATGTAGGATATATAGCTCTGTTCAGCTCCAGCTATTGTACAGCCACCCTAACCAATGAAGGAATATTGCGGGTGGACATTGATGTAGGATATATAGCTCTGTTCAGCTCCAGCTATTGTACAGCCACCCTAACCAATGAAGGAATATTGCGGGTGGACATTGATGTAGGATAAATTGCTCTGTGGAGCTACAGCTATTGTACAGCCACCCTAACCAATGAAGGAATATTGCCTGTGGACATTACTGTAGGATAAATAGCTCTGTGGAGCTACAGCAATTGTACAGCCACCCTAACCAATGAAGGAATATTGCGGGTTGACATTGATGTAGGATATATAGCTCTGTTCAGCTCCAGCTATTATACAGCCACCCTAACCAATGAAGGAATATTGCGGGTGGACATTGATGTAGGATATATAGTTCTGTTCAGCTCCAGCTATTGTACAGTCACCCTAACCAATGAAGGAATATTGCCATTTGACATTGATGTAGGATATATAGCTCTGTTCAGCTCCAGCTATTGTACAGCCACCCTAACCAATGAAGGAATATTGCGGGTGGACATTGATGTAGGATATATAGCTCTGTTCAGCTCCAGCTATTGTACAGCCACCCTAACCAATGAAGGAATATTGCGGGTGGACATTGATGTAGGATATATAGCTCTGTTCAGCTCCAGCTATTGTACAGCCACCCTAACCAATGAAGGAATATTGCCAGTGGACATTGATGTAGGATATATAGCTCTGTTCAGCTCCAGCTATTGTACAGCCACCCTAACCAATGAAGGAATATTGCAGGTGGACATTGATGTAGGATATATAGCTCTGTTCAGCTCCAGCTATTGTACAGCCACCCTAACCAATGAAGGAATATTGCGGGTTGACATTGATGTAGGATAAATAGCTCTGTGGAGCTACAGCTATTGTACAGCCACCCTAACCAATGAAGGAATATTGCAGGTGGACATTGATGTAGGATATATAGCTCTGTTCAGCTCCAGCTATTGTACAGCCACCCTAACCAATGAAGGAATATTGCGGGTTGACATTGATGTAGGATATATAGCTCTGTTCAGCTCCAGCTATTGTACAGCCACCCTAACCAATGAAGGAACCTGACTCTCTGGTTTATCAGAGGAGCTCAGATTAAGGTAGACACAGTGTTTGTCTGTTTTTCCGGTACCGATTTGGCCAACACTCCCACGCAGTGTGTTGTCAGGTAGTATCATCATGTTCCGATGTAGATGTGAGGTGCACAGCGGAGGAGGCTGCGCAGGGGATGTTTCATTGACAAACTTGAGGATGTTCTGAAATAGCATATTACTGGTCTGGTTGCAGATGTTCAGCTGAGACTGAGAGGCATTTGTACATGTCGTAATGTTGGAAACATTCTGTCATTGACTATGTATTTTGACAGAATCGACAGTCATGCCATGACTTTAAATTTAGTCAACACTTGTCCAGATACTAAATATACCATATACGCCTTAATAAACCATATACAAGTTAATGTTGTTGTCAGATCTTAAGGTAGTAAACAAACTTCAATTAAACTAAAACTTATTCCATAATTGTGACTGAGCAATAATATACACTTCTGCACTGCTGGAACATGGGGATACATCGGGATGACAATCTTCCGCAGAGCCGTGAAGCTCCGAGAATTTTAATGACCACAAATTTGTTAAAATCTGATGGCTTCCCCCATATTATGGACCATGCTCCATTGCAAAGAAGTTTCAGCTGAAAATGAAAATATCCATTCTCATCCCTCAGTATACCGACTACCGTAGGTCGGTTAAGGCTAGTTAGTCTTACTTAGCAGGGCGGTCGGGTAGCCTAGTGGTTAGAGCGTTCGATTGTCATGCCAATTCCCGACATGGGTACAATGTGTGAAGCCCATTTCTGGTGTCCCCCGCCGTGAAATTGCTGGAATATTGCTAAAAGCGGCGTAAAACCGTACTCACTCACTCTTACTTAGCATGATATTAATTTTTAGGTTTATAAGAGGTTTCCCCGATTGTGGTTATATAAGGTAGTGAAACCTCCCTTAAACTAAACACGAGGGTCAACTGGACCTTGTCATGACCCTGATGTTGAAACTAAGGGATATGACCTGTCCCTTGATTGAAATACCATAATATTATAAAGGATCCCCTCAATTTTGAACACTGTGTTTGTCTTTGATTACTGTTTCCTGTTTGTTTAACTTTCAATATGAGGAATGTATGTTGTTTCAATGCAGGTTGAGATGATGTGGTAGGCAACTGTTACTGTTTATTTCAGTTTTCTGTATCTATGTTAAAAGCATATGGTGAACCGTCATTTCCTGTAGAGGCATGTAAAGTGGTATATCATTTCCTTTACAAACATGGTATATCACTGCTAGAGTTACTAAGTGTCAAGCTTTCAGGCTTTTTGAGACAGGTTACAATGTATCTGAAGACGCTTTTTGATATATGTAGATTATATAGGCAGATGGTAATCTTGATAATCCCAACAGCCATTTCCTTGACAAACACGGTAGTACTAAAAGTTAAACTTGAGAGGCATCTTGAAATAAAAGTTTGAATGTACCTAAGACAGTGTTTATTGATGTTGATGCATAGCAGATGGTAATCTTGACAGTCAGCCGTTAGTACTGCCAGGTAACGGCAGGAACGTCAGCCCTCCTCCACACACAACCTCTTCAACCCTCCTTGTCCTTCCCCTTCACTATACCACCATGCTGTACCACCCATCTGACTTCCTGTCCAACTGGTGAGCTTCTGGTGGACGGTCCGGTTTCCAGGACGATACAGATGTCAGGTGACAGGTGGGTCTTCTTGTAGAGGGGAGGCCATGTTAAAATGGGGTGTGAGGGACTGTGAGAAGTGCAGGTCTTGTAGACCTCTGGGTTTTCAGCAGCATGACTCAAGCGGCTAAATTAGGCAGGGTGAACTGCATAGAGATAGGCATAGGAATGCATCCTGTGGATAGCTCTACCAGACTGGGAAGAGACTCTAGACTGGCTGCAGGTGCTTGCTTGGATACAGGTGTTACTTCTGACTGTATGTGGCCCAGGTATTGATTGTTTGTGTCGTGGAAGTAATTGGCTGCTTTATATTACATGGGTCTTATCATTTAGTCATTCCACAAGTGACAGCCCCCATGGTCAAGTGGATAGAACATCTGCCTGGAGAGCAGAAGGTCCATGGTTCAAACCCTGGTCACATCGTACCAAAAACTGTTAAAACATGTTACTTGTTACCCTGCCTGGTGCTCAGCAGTAACGATATACAAGGATTGGTTGATTCAATATACTGTGGGGGGGGGGGGGGGGGGGGGGGGTATCCATGTCCAATTGTGGTATGGTATCTCTTGGCTCACCCTATAAAACTGGCATCAGTCCACACTGGTACAAGCATGTCGCTATGTAAGTGCAATAATCTTGAATTCAACATTAAACTTCATTTCACCTCGCCTCATTCCATAAGTCTTTGATAGCAGAACAAGGTATGGAAACTGATTATCTAACTTGATACATTGTGCAGCTATCTCTATCATGTCTATGGCTGAGGATTATGTGATTTGATAACTACTGAGTTTGTAGAAGACTTAGGTGATTGTGTAGTAGTAATCGTGGTAAATGGTGATAGCCATTTCAGAGTTTCAATTTTGAGACCTGTATGACTTATTTGTGCCTGTTCTCCCAGAAAAGCTGGACATGTAAGATTTTACTGACTTCTCCCTGATATGCATAGTTATAAAGAAAACAAATTAATGGTCATGTAGTCTTCAATAATAAGAGCCAGCCTCTAATTTACTGCTGGGTTTCTGTTAAACATCAGGTCTGGACACTGTCTGAGCCTCCATTAAGCATCGGGTCTGGGAACTGGTTGAAAGAGAAGCTCCTTGGCACTTGTTACACAAAATATGGATTGTGCCTCTTATGTTGTGAGCAGTTATATTATGATAGTTATCATTTTGCAAGCATCAACTTAAATATTGGCCAACAATTTTCTGTTATTAAAGTATATAAAAGTGGTTTGGTGGCTAGTGAATACCCCATATTCACTTCACGTGACTTGGGATAAATCTTGAACCAGTTACTATTCATACTGAAACTGTTTCGTATCTGATAAGGCACTGCAATTCGCTGTACAGAGTTGCTTCCCTTGGGCACGCCAGAATCAAATGATTGTTGGTTCAAATTCCAGTTTGCCCTGATTATGTTTCTAGGTTTGTCAGCAACATCCACAGTTCAAGATACAACTGTACATACAGAACAATTCACAGTACAATAACTCCTGACTGACATTCATTGGTTTCTTTCCTGTTTCACATAACCCTATTTTGAAACAAATTGCCACATATAAGCACATGTGCCATCATCATGATCATAAACAAGTCATTCTGATTCAATGAAATGTGTGCTATTTTTTAAAGTATAACTACCATGACTACAATCAACAACATTAATGAATAAATGCTACCTAACTTTCTTGATTTACCTCACTTGATTGATCGATTGTTAACTCCAGTATGCAAAATTACACAGCCCTACAGTCTGCACAATTCGATAGACTGATGACGTTTAAATGCATGGGGACTTGTAAAGTGTGGCGTTGGTTGTTGTATCTCTGTTCCACCTTGTATTTGATTGTTATGACCAAGATGCTGGATGATAAAATTCATTGTTTTATGTTCAATAATGGGTTATGTTCGCTATGTTTGACAGCAATGAGATTGCCATGGGTGATATAGCACCAGCAGTTTGATAGATTGTTACACACTGTGGATTCCGTGTCTTTGTATGCCTACTTCATTGTGAATACATAACATTGTGACAGTATTAATGCTGATAGTTGCATAAGTGTAACCATAGTAGCTGAAAATGATTATTGACAATATTGAACTAGGATAACAAGTACCCGTCTGCACATTCTTGAAACGGTTAAGAATTCTAATGACACTGTAACAGATTATTAAGTAATCATGATTTTCAATATGATAAACCAGAACCATATGGCTTTCATATGATATTATGTTGTTATCAAACATGTCCAGCATAAGCAGTGTTAGAACCATGAGAGCATTTAGGCAATGCAGGTACAGGTACTCGAATAATGCTGTTATGTATTGTCAAACTCTTAAGATCCGGGTTAGAATAGGTCTTCAGCAACTCATGCTTGCTGTAACAGGCGACTGCTTATAAGAGACGACTAATTGGATCGGGTGGTCAGCTTCGCTGACTTGGTTGATGCATGTCATCCCATTTGCGTGGATCAATGTACATGATATCAATCACTGGATTACACAGATAAACTAATACCACATATATATAGTCCACTTAACATATTGAGAAGTAGGATCATGTTGTTAACGTAAGACGGATAAATACAAACTTTTGACTATTCAAGCCTGAGAGCATGGTATATACATGGTGGATCCATGCTCATGATGTCAATCACTGGATTGTCTGGTTCAGATTCATTAATTTACAGACCGCCATCATATAGCTGGAATATTACTGAGTGTGGCGTTAAACAACAAACAAACAAACAAATGTACTTTTGACATTGTAGCATATTACAACTATATGGTACACCAGTAATAATAATAAACTGCCCTCCAGTAAATATAGTGTTTAATCATGGTAAAAGAGCTATTAGTAGATCATCAGGTATGTTGGATATAACTGATGTATCGCATGGTATAAAGTCTATGTAGCAGCCAGCTGTGTCAGTCTCCAGACAAGGTGTGTTGGTGGCAGTAGTGGTGGGATGAACTGTACACACCAACACTAGGGCTGGGGAATGCTGGAGCTCACAGGTGGGGAGGAGCAGGAAGGAAGCATGTTGAGGTAACTGATGAGCTCAGCCGGACTGCTCCGTGTTGGTTGGACTGTCAGTGGTTTGTGACCTGTGAGGTATTGACTAGTAGGCTGAGGGACATGGAACTGTAGAGTGAGGAAGAAATACCATGACGTCCTGACACTATGTTGATGAAGGTAAATATACTGCTTCTTCAGGTTATGATTTGAACGAGAAGTGATGATTATCAGCTTTTGTACTTGTTCCCTGATCCATGTTTGTTTTTATAGAGTCTGTGATATAAATAGCACATATTTCCCTAACCACTACAAGCAGGCTCCGGTTTTAACTGCAGTAGCTTGGAGGGCTCTACAGTACTTGTTTCCATATCCTTGCTCCCGTCCATGTCTTTATTAGTAGTCATCCATAGAAGATTATACGGACCATGATGTGGTGAGTGTTTCTATTATTGCTGCAGCATTTGTCTTGACATGTTGAAGTTTATTTTGTCCTTACCCTTAACATCGACTAAATGAAGTCAGTCTCAGACCAGTGTCTCACTGTTAGAAATTGGCATTAGTCCTATAGTCCTTGCCAAACTGCCCAATAGCTAAGGTATCATAAGGACTAGTAGAAATTTTCCATTTTATAGGGTTTTGCTATATGTTTTCATCATAAGGATGAGTGGACTAAAACTGTTAGTTTCTATCGCTGTATCTGAGTACATTGCAGTCAATACTGCAATCTGGATGTTGTCCATGTTTTGCATGTTATCATGGTTATGGTAGAGTCATGATCTTGGCATGTTTAGGGGAGATTGCCAAACTTGAGATAAATTTAGTTTGTGTGAAGAATATCCTTGAAGATATTTTGTCGAAATGCAAACTTATTTTCAGCATCTGACTAAAACATGTCAGGCTATTGTTTACGTTGTTTAGTATGTGTTGACAGAGTACACAGTTATTATGTCATCAAGACTATTACTGATAACGTAAGGGTCATGATCCCTTGACTTTTGAATGCTTAATTCGGGGCCCGGGTGGCCCAGTCATCTAAGGTTCCGAAATTCCCTGTGCAATGTTTCGTCCCTTGGGCACACCAGACACCTGTGATTGTGGGTTCAAATCCTGGTTTGACCCGATTATGTTTCTCGGTTTCGTCAGCACCATGCCTGTACTCTAGGGTTTCGTGTTTCAAAGTAGTAAAAGTCGGAGACATGCATCACTATTGGGTTTCCTCCCATATTTATCTGACATGCTGTGATATAACTGGAATATTGTTAAAAGTGGCATTTGAACCCAACTCACTCACTGACTCATGTTCAATTTCGGATACTGCTGCAGTTTAACACCAAGTACTGTTGGTGCTGTGTTGCTGGTAATGCCAGTGAAAAACTAAGCACTATTAATCATGGTCTATGAGCTATGCAGCTCTTGCAGTTGGAGGCCTATATCATGTACATGGACCCCAAGTTTTACAACATTATATAACATTCAGGTAGCTCGCTACCGTGTTTACGCTGTTAGTTTGTGTCCAAGCCAAGGTGTGAAACATTGGCAAGCACCTGTAGGAAGTACCATGGACTGGTGAATGATGGTTCTTTCCTCGAAGTAGACATGGTAGAAACACCCACACACAGATGAAAGTGGTGTTTGGGTGCCATTGTTAGTTTCGGGGACATCTTGTTTATGGGGCTTTTTAAGGGGTCAGTTTCCTTTACAGTGTGTTGGAATTCAATTAGAATATTTCAGAACTGTTTTTAATCATTTTATGCCATTTTTGTTACCAAATAAGTGCAAAGTCACCTTAAGAAAGATATATAGTTATGTATGTTCATGGTAATGGTATTTATTTCATTTTGAAAAGGCCCCGGGGTAGAATAGGTCTTCAGCAACCAATTCCTGCTGTAAAAGGCGACTATGCTTGTCGTAAGAGGCGACTAACGGGATCAGGTGGTCAGGCTCGCTGACTTGGTTGATGCATGGCATGGTATCCGAATTGTGCGGATCGATGTTCGTGATATCAATCACTGGATTGTGTGGTCGAGACTCGATTATTTACAGATCGCCGTCATAAAGCTGGAATATTGTTGAGTGTGGCGTTAAACAACAAACATTTTGAAAAAAGCCAACAACAGTGCTAAAGAGCTCACAGATCAATAACAGCGGAACACAGAGCTGGATGAATCATTTAATGGGCACTTCAGTGACCAAGTATGTGAAGAGCTGGGTTTTGTAGTGTTATGACATTTGGTATTGTGACTTCTATTCTTCTGTCTAACCAAGGAAGTCTACTAGCCCAAATAGTGATAACATTTAGCAACATCCCCCAAAATGTTTGAAATTCTACCAGCCCTCAGGATACCTTTACCGTTAGTAAAACAGCATCAGGCTTGAGGGCTAGAATTTCTATCCCTGTAGACCTGTGAAGATTCCAGGGTAGGATAGGTCTTCAGCAACCGTAAAAGGTGACTATGCTTGTCGTAAAAGGCGACTAACAGGTTCGGGTTCGGGACTTGGTTCAGGACTTGTCATCGATCCCAATTGCGTGGATCGATGCTCATGATGTAAATCACTGGATTGTCTGGTCCAGACTCGATTATTTTAAAGACCGCCGTCATATAGCTGGAATATTGCTGAGTGCTGCGTTAAACAACAAACAAACAAACTATCCCTGTAAGACTCTGTGGTCATAATGCAAATCTGTAGTCCATGCTTACCATGGTGCCTAGTGCCTTGCCAAACTGACCAATAGTTAGGTATCATAAGGAATAGTAGTAATTTGCCATTATTAAGGGGTTTTCTATGTTATCATTATAAGGATTAGTGGACTAAAACAGTTAGTTTCAAACACTGCCTTAGAAGCTGGGTGATTCAATCATAATATTACTTATTTCTAATATTAGCTGCTGAAAGAACACAAATAGCTAGCATTTCTCTGTGTTATGCTGTGGATGCAGCTAGTAAGTCGAAAGTGGTACAGTCCCTTCACAGATAAAGTTAACACTTCATTCTGGTTGCTGTGAAGATCAGAGTGTGACTGAAACACTGTATCTGGGGAATTAAAGTTCATTTTTTTTAGTGTGGAATGGATGCTTGGCAGTGGAATGGTTGATGTTACACATGTTAAAGGGAGCATGGTAAATGTCAGTCCCTCCAAGATTGTATGGTGTATACTACTCAAAAGACATTAAAGAACACCCATAACGGATTAACAACAGTCATTTGAAAGAATCGGGTGTTGTTTAACTTTTTTTGAGTCGTATGTATAGAGGATTCATCACGAGTGTTTTTTAATATGGGAAATATCAACCAAGTCTTAGTTAATCGGTATTTGCCGAGCCTTTGGCGAGGCAAATACCGATTAACGGGTCGAGGTTGATATTTCCCATTAAAAAACACTCGTGATGAATTCTATTTACCATTTTCACATTTTTGCTTCCAAATTAAGGAATAATTGCATTAAACATTAAGCAATCAGCAACTTGTCGAAATCTTACGTATAGATCGTGCGTAGTGATACATGTTTTCCATAGCCATGTAAACCAAAATAAACAATTCGCTGAGAAAAAAAGTTCCTCGGATTATTTTAAACAAAATACTTGAACAGACTTTTGCAGAATAATTGAAACTTTAATAACGGTAACAACAACGATTCTGTGTAATCTGATTATATCTCTGGTGTAACTTCACTTATAATATATAGTTTCAAATCAAACCGCTCGCTCTTCCGGTTATCTAATTTGCATATCTAATTTGCATACTTATGTCATTGGGGTATGACATACATGTTTTTATGTCATAAGCTTATGTCATGGATAAATGCTTAAGTTAAATGATAAATTTCAATCTAGCAGCCCCTCAGTTACCCAAAGATAGTGTCTACGTGTATCCCATCTTGCACCAATTACAGTGTCTAGACCTGAACTGAAAATCGCCATTATCGGCATAACCTCCCTTTAAAGTGTTTAGTCTTCTTGCCCAAGCATTCCCAACTGCAGTATCTTTGGTACGTTGTACATGTGGGATGTTGTTCAATAAGTTTCTTATTCATGCTACAACAATAAGAAACTCTGCTTGACTCAGGTAGCTGTGATTTGCAGTGTGGTGCATATTTTCACTGCTATTCCTTTTCTATGGCTCATTCAACTCTTTAGCCGACATACATCTCTCCGAGGGGAGGGGCGGTCGGGTAGCCTAGTGGTTAAAGCGGTCGCTCGTCACGCCGAAGACCCGGGTTCGATTACCGACATGGGTACAATGTGTGAAGCCCATTTCTGGTGTCCCCCGCTGTGATATTGCTGGAATATTGCTAAAAGCGGCGTAAAACCATACTCACTCACTCACTCTCTCCGAGGCAAAGGAGTTAACTGACTGTAAAAGTCCAGTTTCCACCCTTGCTAAACTAGGCTTGAATTTCTAGGTTCGATCAGTAGCACCACCAGTGGCTATCTCGCTCCTATTGACCAATCTGATCCCATCTCTCTTATCACTTACATTTGCTTCAAACAAAATGGCGGCGCTCAGTCAAGACGCTCAGATCGATAATCAAACAAGTCGTACTTCGCGAAGTCAAATCAAATCACATGAACACCTTGATTAAAAACATGAAAGGATTTGGAAAATACCTGTTGACGGAACACATGCTTTACAAATCCTGCGATCAAAATCTACACGAACGGGATGTCTATTTTGGTATGCGATTTTGATTGGACTATGCATAGACCCATTACTGGCGTTAGTCAAGATATAACTCCATAATTCCTGCCTAGTTTGGCAAGGGTGGAAACTGGACTTTTACTGTCAGTTAACAAACACACTTGCCTCAGGAAGATGACTGACATGAGGTAATTTGGCTCATTCATCTCTCATATCTCAAGGAAATTGTCTAATTCTCTGAGGGAACAGAATTCCCCTGCTGTAGACTAAAAGTAGAACCATCTGTCCCGCTCTACCATGTGTACAGTCATGCTTGTGAATCACTTCTTCTTCCACTTGCTGGAATTCTAAGTTATTATCAAATCTCTTGAACTATCTGCAAGGAAGGAAGTCTGACTCTGAACATTCTTTAATGGACATTTGTCAGAATGGAACAAGAAAGGGAATCTTGAAGAGTTCGTATCACACAGGATGAGTGCTTTTGATAAATTTTGCTTCTAATTTTGTTATCTTCCTAAAGCTGTGAAATACTTCTTGAA